GTGAGCCCGGCATTAGTCTGCCTTTGAAAACTCAGTCAGTCTTTGTAGGCTCAGCGAAGCCAGAAATAGCATGTTTGGTATTTTGTAATGACCCCGACACGTAAAGTCGTTTCCTAGTGTTTCAGTGTCGCTGGATTCTTCACCAGCTTTCTCCTGCTCACCTTGGATGTCACTGACGTTGTGCCGGAAACCTTTGGCTCTCTGAAATTGATGAGCAGCCACAAAAAGAGCTAAAAACTATTTAAACTGATTGAGATAAGTTGAGGTGCAGCTCTCAAACGTAGCTGTGGCCCTTTTGAAATGGCGAGGATAAGGAGGAAGGCTCGTGTGCTTGCGTTTCCTGTTGTGCTCTGGGAGTAAACATGCTTCAAACACTGACCCACATGTTCAGAAAAGCTGGCTGCAATTCATCCTGAGTTTCTAAACGGTCTGGCCTCTTGCAGGCTCCTCCGGCCCCCACAGACCGTGGCGTGGCCTTCACAGGGACCGCGAAGGACCCGCTCACAACAAAGTGCAAGTAAGTACCTTGGGCTGTTACTGAAAAAGGCAACATTTGTGTCGTAATGACTTTGTGGACAAAAAGAAAAGAGGGGGTAAAAACACACATGCTTGTAGAAAACACTCATGAAAAGGTCGTTGGCACAGTCCATTTGGTCACTGATGAAAACGTCTTCGTGGCGAAGTCTTCTGCTGTGTGTACATCCTGCACTCTAGTGGCCACAGATGGCACTGCATGGACAAACACAAACACTGAGAGGCGTCCAACATGTTCTGTCAGAGTCGAGGAAAAGAGTGCGACTTTAGAAAACGAGTTGTGATAGTGTGTGTGTGTGTGTGTGTTTCATGCACGCAAACTCTGCAGGACTGGGGAAACTCAAGAATGCGTTCACAGTGTGATCAAACTCACAAGCATGCAGACAAATCCACATGTCCGAACAGGTACCATGGGCATTCCACGTGAAGGGCAATGTAAACAGATCGGGGCCGAGCTCCAGCAGCCGCCCCGTTCCCGGGGCCTTCATCAAAGGGATGCCTCGACCACCCGGTGTGGCCTGGGGAAGTGGAGGCAGGAAGTGCTCTAGTTTCCAGCAGGGTCAGACACTCTCCCTCTGCATCCTCCCTCCTCTTCTCTTCATCACAGTTACTTGTTGTCCATCAGAGACTGGACTTTGTGCACCAGCTCACGTGCTACCTTCAGGATGTGCTGGACATCGTGCCGCTCGGCCATTTCTGTGGATCAGACAGGCTGTTAGAGAGAGCTACCAATGTGGAAATACAGCACAGCAGCTAACCGATGAGCCCTGAAATTAGTTTGAACTATGCATGTGTTTGTGAGGAAGCCCACACAGGTACAGGGAGAACATGGCAGCGCTAACCGCCACGCTGACACTGAAGCTTTCTACTCACTGTTCAGACTTCAGAGCACTTCTCTGATCTCCAGCGATGGGCGTGGCAGGATAGTAACAGGTATGAATGTGCGTCCTACCATTAAAGAATTTAATGATGTCGGTGAAGTCCATGTTGTTGTCCACGATGATCTCACGGTAAACTGTGACCAGCGCCAAGGCCAGGAAGAGGACGAAGTGCTGCGAGGAAATCCTGGGAGCCACCCAGATCACCTCCCACACCGCGAACACGTCGTCGTACAGCAGCTCTGCACACAGCACATTAACGTCATCGGCACTTCTAAAGAGCGCTTCTCAACACGCACGCTTTGTCTGCGCGCGAAAAACAGAGAGGAGGACGTCGCGTTCACCTCTCTTGAAGTCCAACAGGAACCACCGGTAACAGAAGTAGAAGTGAGTGTAATCTCCGTTCTGCTGCATCAGCTCGAACAGCTCCGAGTCCAGGATCTGCCATCACACAGAACACCAGCTGTTAGCTGGAGCGTCTCTCACTCTCTGATACTCACTCTACGAACATCATCACCTGGATCAGTGACCTCATGTTGGCAAAGTGCGAGTCCATGGCTCCACCGTTAGGGAAGTTCTGACTCATCCTCTTCATCAGCTGAGTGAAACAGCTGTACGCCAGGCACTCTGACACACACAGTTATTGATCATTTATTGAATATTTGCTCTGGAATAAACACTGTCGCAGAAATGAAAACAAGCGTTCTGCTGCAGCTCACCATCATCCAGGATGACCATGAGCGGAGCGAGGAGGTCACACATGCCCTGAACGTAGCCCATCTCTAAATGCTCCCACACATAGCTGCCAGGAAGAGAGAAAGAGAGACGGACTAAAGAGAGACGGACTAAAGAGAGACGGACTAAAGAGAGAGCACACATCGGTAGTTGTTGTAAATGTTGGTGATTCGTTCTCCACAAATAAAACGCTAGAAACTGGAAATAACACAAACACGGCTCGAGATAAAACCTGCTTCTTCTCACTCGGTAAAATACTCACCTCCACCTTCTGCACCTACTCATCACCAGAGATGGGCAGTAACGCGTTACTGTAATCTGATTACTTTTTTCAAGTAACGAGTAAAGTAAGGGATTACTATTGCAAAAAC